TCCCCTAGGGCTCCCCAAGGACGCAGCTTTGGCTGGCTGCTCACTGGGACTCACCTCAAAGAAAGGTTAAACCCGGAACCGTGGGGAGGGACTCAGCACTTCACCTGGCTGTCAGGCCAGGCACTGTCCAACCCTGAATTAGGCCGTGAAAACGATAGCCACTGAGGCCCACATAATAAAAGTTGCTCCATTCCCTGTCCCCTGTTCATCAGGTCACAAGGGACCGTAACAAAGGCCGCCATTCATCACAGCTCCGCTGCAGGCCAAGTTCAGGGTCCTTGGGGGCCCGCAGCCTCACCTCCACACCAGCAAACAGAACGGGGCGAAGCACACAGCTCTCTAGCCCCTCGGGGTCCAGGCAGTGAGCTCCAGAGAGAATGAACCCAGGAACAGACAGGAAAGCTGGGCCGCCTTGGAGAAGGCCCTCAGTCTCCGGGCTTCTTTTTACGGCTGTAAAATGGGGATACGAGTAATGAGGGGATTGACGCAGGGGAGAAAACGTCCAAGACGTAGACACGTGCTGTAAAAAAAAAACAACAGCAAAAGGGCCACTCAAATGAGGCGGTAACAGTGGAGAAACAAGCAGGGTAGAATTTTGCAGCAGTTAGGGAGCCAGCTTGCGAGAGCCGGTTTTTAAGAGCTCAGGCATTTTGCTGGCCGGTGACGTCACATCGGTAGCTTGAAACGATAGACAGCGGGAGTATCTACACTAGACTAGTAGTCGAACACCAACTATTGGGAATTTCTTTTCTTCCTCAGAGAGCCGGTCATTTAGCATTGACCAGCACACCACTGCCTATCAATAACCAGCCAAAGTCAGTTTGTTGTTGCTTCAAACACACCATAACTGCACACACCCGGGTTGACTACTTTAAGGCAGTTAGCTTGGGAGGCCCTATCGCTTCCTAACACTTACAGAACGTTTCCATTTCTACATTTATTGAGACTTCCGACGTGCCCGGCCCCAGGTGGTGGAGGTGCGAGAAAGCGCACACCGGGAGATGCTCCGAAGAGGGCAGGTCCAAGCCCCAGGTGTGGGGTCCAAGCCCGCGCCACTGGGCAGGGCACTACAGGCAGAGAGAATGGCTAAGGCACCGAGGCGTGGATGACAAGACAAGTTTTTAAAACTCCTCTCTAAGAACTGGCTTTGAGGAAGTTTTAGAGTTGTTGCATTACAGGTACCACTTATTCTAGAAAAAAACAAAACAAAACAAGAATATCCCTCACCCTGTCCCCGTCACCAGAATTTAGCACCAAATTTCCTTTGACTATTTCCAAAACTCAAATCTACTTTCAGGAGGGGAATTTGCCATCCCTGAGGCCAGCTCCTCAAAACAAAGAGGATCTCCAAGAGACATCTGATAGCGGCAGCATCCCTGCCGTGTCTGAGCCCAAACTCCCGAGGTGAGGACTTCCGGCTGCAGCAGGCACGGAGGTGTTTGCGACCATATAACTCCCATCTCATTGCTCAAGGACGCTTTACAGGAAACACGGAGCACCAGCTCTCCTCTCCTAAGACATGTGCACATTCTCCTCGCAGAATGCCAACGTTTTAATTTCAAAAACGAAGTGGGGGGGGGGGGAGGGATCCAAAAGCTTCCAGACAGAAAAAAGGAGGTTGCCATCAAAGGAACTAAAGTCAAGGTGACCTGAGACTGCAACATAAACACAGACCGTGAAACCAGGTCATGAATCCTAAGCAGCCAAGTCATCGTAGAGGCAACAGAATGTCAGTCACTCATTCACAGGAGTTCAGCACATGCGTCACCCACACGCCCTTTTTGGGAAAAAAACAAAAGTTATATATATTATATATATATTTATATATTACATATAAATATATATAAATTATATATATATATATATATATATATATATTTGAAGGTATATCAACTGTCTAGAGAGAAATTAAAACACAAAGTTTAGCCCTAGCTGGTTTGGCTCAGTGGATAGAGCGTCGGCCGAAGGACTGAAGGGTCCTGGGTTCGATTTCGGCCAAGGGCACATGCCCAGGTTGCGGGCTCAGTCCCCAGTGGGAGGCGTGCAGGAGGCAGCCGGCCAATGATTCTCTCTCATCATTGATGTTTCTATCTTTCTCTCCCTCTCCCTTCCTCTCTGAAATCAATAAGAATATACTTTTTAAAAAAAATACAAAATTTAAAGGTGGAGAAGTTGAGGTATTATATAAGGATTGAAGGTGAGCGGCAAACCAGTTAAGTCTAAAAAGTAAGTTATTGTTGTAAATTTGGTTTAAAATTGAATGGTAACCATCTATGTGAAATTCTAGAATAGGTAAAACTAGTCTACGGTGAAAGAAGACAAAACAGTCATTGTTTCTAGGAGGACTTTACTTCTTTCCCAACCTCAGTGCCTTTCAGTTTTCCTGTCTCATTGCACTGCCTAGAGCCTCCGGTACAATGCTGGGCAGGTGGTGAAGGGGACACCTTTGCCTCACACCCAATCTTAGGGAAAGCGCATCTTGCATCTCACTGTGGAGTGTGCGATTAGCTGTAGGGTTTTTGTAGATGCTCTTTCTCGGGGAGATGATGTTCCATTCTATTCCTAGTTTGCTGAGAGGTTTTTATCAAAACTGAATGCGGGATTCATGTCAAATAAATAACTAGGGAAATGCAAATAAAACGCTGATGAGATACCACTACTTACCTACTGGAATGACTAAAATCCAAAAGACGAACCATACCAAGTACTGGTGAAGACGGGAGCAATTGGGACTCTCATTCAGTACTAGGGGGCGTGTGGTACAACCACTCTGAACATCAGTTTGACAGCTTCTTTAAAGTTAAGAAGGACCCTACCTGGTTTGGCTCAGTGGATAGGCCTGCAGGCTGAAGGGTCCCGGGTTCAATTCCGGTCAAGGGCACATGCCCAGGTTGTGGGCTCGCTTTCCCAGTAAGGGGCATGCAGAAGGCAACCAATCAATGATTCTCTCTCATCACTGATGTTTATAACTCTCTGTCCCTCCCCCTTCCTCTCTGAAATCAATAAAATAAAATAAAAATAAAATTTAAGAAGGTATCTATCAGAAGAAATGAAAGCACAGGTCCACACAAAGGCTCATGCCTGAAGGTTCACAGTTGCTTTATTTGTCTCATCCAAACACTGGACGCAACCCAAAAGGTCACCAGCAGGTGAAGGGATAAACAACTGTGCAATATTCATACCAGACACCACAATAAAAAATAAAAAAACTATCAATACCTGAAATAATGTGAATGAGCCTCAAAATAAGTATGCTGAGTGAAAGAAAAAAGACCCCCCAAAAATAACATGTTCTATATGGTCCGCTTATGTGAAATTATTGAAAATGAAAACGATTCTACAGAGGCAGAAAGCTGATCACCGGTTGCCTGTGGCGATGCCCCTCTGGAACCCACGGCAGATGCTTGCAAACAATCCAGTGACAGAAAGGACCAACCGTCGCTGGGCCACGCCTGGGGAATCAGGGAGGTAAACTCTTGGGTCAGAAGCCTGGGACCCATATAAAGTGCTCAGAGGAGGGGGCAGGCTCCCACACAGCCTCTGCGGCACCTGTGAGAGGAGCCCCTCGAGCCAGCGCCCCGCAGTGCAAAGGGCCCGGCAGCATGTAAGCCAGTCCTGGCTCCAACCCGAAGGGGAGCAGAGGGTCCAGGCCCTGGGGCTGGGGCCGGCCCACTGGGTGGGAGGAAACGTGGACTGCGTGAAATGATCACCTCCTAGATTCCAGCGTGCCTTCCAGAGTCCTCTCACCGTGCATTCGACTGCATTCATTTCCTGAGCACCCACTGTGGGCTGCAAGAAAGACACGGCCCCGGCTATCAGAGTTGTTTATCTTCCTGTGAGAATCCCGGGAGACACAGGCAGGGCAGGTGAACAGAACCTGGTGACCAATTAGCCCTAGGGGTTGGGGGACACAGAAGTCTGTGACGACGGTCCAGCTTTCAGGGCTGGCTGACTGGAAGAGCCGGGGAACCAGAGTCAGGCACAGGTGATCGAAGGGAGAGCTGGGCAGGAGTGTGAAGTTTAGTTCGGGTCACGTTGAGACGGATGTAATTTCTTTGGGTGGCCCCTGAGAACCAACAGGATTTGTGGGAGGAAAACAACGCCAGGGCCAGAGAGCAGGGTGCCTGGTCAAGGCCTGAGGATGGCAAGGAGCCCCGGGACTTTGTACTGTACCCCTTTGTGGCAGAGGGGACGGGGTCAGGAGTCGGGCAGCCGCCTGTGGTCTAGTCTGAGCACTGACACTTACTACCCTCTAACCCCAGACAAGCTATTTCCCTTCTCTGAGTTACTGGCATCTGCGAACTGCAGATGAAAGTACTCTCCTCGCCAAAACCAGTTTGGCTCAGTGGATAGAGCATCGGCCTGCGGACTGAAGGGTCCCAGGTTCGATTCCGGTCAAGGGCATATACCTTGGTTGCGGGCACATCCCCAGTAGGAGATGTGCAGGAGGCAGCTGGTCGATGTTTCTCTCTCATCGATGTTTCTAGCTTCTCTATCCCTCTCCCTTCCTCTCTGTAAAAAATCAATAAAAATATATTAAAAAAAAAAAAAAAAAGAAAGGACTCTCCTCGTCCATTCCACAGGCTGGCTTTGAAGCACCTAAACGACATTTACAAATTGCATGAGGCTGTCTAATAAAAGGCGCCAGTCCAAGGTCCTCCACCAACAGCTGAGGCTTGCAGCGATGTTCCCGCCCAGAGCCGCTCAGTGGCTCCCGGGAGCCATGGCTCTCCATGCCCCTGTGACACCCTGTCCCTCAGGGCACCTCTGCATGAGCCTCTTTGGGGCCATCCCAGATGAGACCCTAAGACCCCACTGCTGTCTCTGACACAAACGACTTCTTGCCTGCATGGCCCAGGCCAAGGTCAGCCTCTGAGGATAAGTTCCAGCCCAGGTGCCAGGCAGAGCAGGCACCCACAGCCGCCTGGACCACCCAAGGGCTCCGAGCCCACGCAGGCTGGGCTGGCACCTGGGCAATGAGAGACGCGCAGTTCGCAGCATGTGCTCCAAGGAGGTTTATTCGTGTCCACACTCTTGCCCAGAACAAGGGGCCGAAAGCATCCTGATGGGGAAGCAAGGTAGCCACAGGCTGCCCGCCAGGCGCCCAGGGGGACGGCGATGTTCCTGCTTCCAGCACAGCCCTTTGCCCTGTAAGCCTCCTCCTGAGAGGCAGGGCAGCCCAGTCCATAGAGAAATGAGGTCCTGGCCCCACTGGCGTGGCTCAGTGGTTGAGCATCGACCTACGAACCAAGAGGTCACGGTTCAACTCCTGGTCAGGGCACATGCCCTGGTTGCGGGCTCCATCCCCGGTGTGGGGCACGCAGGAGGCGGCCAATCAATGATTCTCTCTCAACACTGGTGTTTCTGTCTCTTTCCCTCTCCCTTCCTCTCTGAAATCAATAAAGATATATTAAAGAAAAGTTAAAGTTCCTGGAGGTTTCTTGTCCTGTCTGACATCTGGGAGCCCAGACCCTCCGTGTGCTCTCCGCTTGGCCAGCATCAGCGACCACGTCTGGCAGAGTGAGCCCCCCTCACCCGGCGGCTTCGGGGCTCCTAGAAATAACTAAAGTCTGGAGCGGACAAATCCTATCAGGTTCCCCAGCTGCTCCTCCAGGCGCTGCTCGTCTCCGTCGTTCTCGACGACCCAGTCGAAGTCCCCAAAGTTGTCCAGGCCGCATTCGGACTCGCCATCGTCCACTCCTGGAGAGGAGGCAGGGCGAGGTCAAGCCCGCTCCTTCCGGACCAGCGCTGGCGTGGAGGCCTGCTGGCCCCAGGCGCAGCGCCCGCTCTCGCCTCTCCCCTTCCACTCCAGAGCCAAGCTGCCCCCACCCCACAGAGGTGCTTCCCGACCCCCTGAAACGCCCCGAGAGCAGGTTCAGGAGCCCGCAGCCCCCTGAGCCCTCGGAGGGTTCCGCTGACTGAACTCTTCACTTGCCACTTCCTACAGAGGGCGAACTGGGTCACCGAAACCACAGGCCACCCGAAAGGGATTTTCCACTTGACGTGAAGCTCGGTGGCTGCTTGCTTCCTATCCCTAAGCCTCTGTGTGCCGTCCTCATTGGACAGTGAGAAGAGTAAGGCCGGCATCACCTGGCAGGTCTATTGTGTAAAGCGAGTTGCAAAGCGTTTAGCGCAGGCCCGGCCTGCGGCGAGTGCCGGAGACGAACAGCCATCAGGAGGGGTTGTACCCACTGGATTCGAACTCCCCCGAGTCACAGTGACCTCGGGCAGGAGGCCTGACCTGCGCCCCTGAATTGCCTGGGCTCGCACCACTGAAGCTGCCTAGCACAGCTTCCTCTTGCTCCCGCCCCCCCCCCCCCCCCGCTCTGTTAACCAAACAGGAGGGAGTTGCCAGGCCTGCCCCAGCCCACTGTCAGCCCCGACTGGGCTGGGGTGGGTCCCCGCCACTCCTCCAGAACCCACTGGCCTAGAAAAGACAGCCCCCGAAAGAGTACCCCCCAAAATCATAGGGAACCTCTACTCCCCCAGGATGCTGCCCCCATCACACTCCACTTTCTAACCTGGGGCACTCCTGAGTCTCAGATTCCCTTTCCTAACCCCTCGCTCGCTCTCCCACACCCTTCCAGGGAGAGAGCAGATGACCTAGAACTGGGGAAAGGCGGCCTGGTCTGCAGGTGGGGTGGTCAGCTGTGCTCCGAGCCTTGGGGGCAAAGGCTGTGAGCAGCTCACCTGGTGTGAACGCCCAGCCCCGCTGCTGTCGGCTCTGCTCCGAGGCCACCACGCGGACGGTCTGCGTCACAGACCCATAGGCCTCCCGGAACCACTGGACATCAGACAGCCTCCGTGTGTCACTCACCAGCTGCAGGGAAGGGACACAGACAGGTGACCAACAGGATATGGTGCAGGGAGCAGCAGGAAAGGGCACTGCAGGTAGGGGAAAACGAGGGGAAGACTCAGCCCTACTTAGAATACGCAGGAGCACAATGAGGTCAGTGGGGGGACTAAAGAGCCCAGACAAGTGTACCCCCATTATCACCCAACCAGCTGGGACAGACATCTCCTCCTCCTCCAGGCAGCCCTCCCTGATTGCTGCAGCCTGCAGCCCACGCTGCCCACACTCTGTCATTGTCACACTTTGTGTTCGGGGGTCATGCTGGTCATTGCTGTGCTAAAGAAGAGGCCTCAGGCTTTGAAATCAGTTCAGCTCGTTCAACACACTCATTTTACAGATGAACAAACTGGGCCAGAAAGAGTTACTCTAACAAGTCCCTGCCCCCCCCACCCCACCCCTCAGCAGCTTTTAAAACATAACATGTGATTTTTGTCAGCTCCCTGCTCTAAACCTCCCAAAGGCTTCCCATCATTCCAACAGAACCCAAAGTTCTCGCCCCAACTTACGAGGCCCTACAACATCTGGCTTCCTCCCCCCCCTCGTTCCACCACGGCCAACTGACCTCCTTGCTGTTTCTCAGGGCCTTTGCACGTCCTCCTCCCTCTGCCTGGATAAATACAAGGCAGGCTCTCTCACTTCATGGAAGTCTCTGCTCAAATGTCTTCTCCTCAGAGAGGCTGTCCCTGCCGCCCTGGTGACCTTCCCGCCCCTCTTGATGCTGATCCGTACTTTCCTCTGAGCACTAAGAACTCTTAAGACCATCGAGATGTGTTTGTTTGCATGTTTGTTGTCTGTCTGCCCTACCCAGAGGCAGCTCCAGGAGGGAAAGGACTCTGATTCATCACTATCCCTGGCCCCTAGTGCACTGTCTGACACATGAACACGCAGGGGCATACGTTCAATGGATGAATGAATCAACAGGTACTATCGCAAGTGCCTGCTGTGTGCCAGGCGCTGGGGACCGAGTGCTTGCCCCTCAGAGCTTGTAGTCGCAGGTGAGACAGACACTGAGCAAGCAGCTTCACTAATAACTGCAATCCCAGTGCAGATCAGCAAGCGTCTCGACCTCACCGCTGTCCAAACTGGATTCCTGATTTGCTCCCCAAACCTGTCCCTCCCACGCCTTTCCTGTCTCAGAAAACGACAACTCTGTTTTTCCAGCTGCTCAGAACAAAACCCTTGGCACTGTCTTCTGTCCTCACACCCACAGCCAACACACCATTGGTTCGATCTGCGAAATCTGTGCCGAATCCACCCTCTCTCCTCCCTACCCCGTTCTGAGCCAGGCCATGGCCACTTCGCCTTTCTGACAGAGAGATCCTCGCCCTGGCTCTCCGCTCCTACGCCTGCCCTTCCCCCAGCAGCCAGGTGGGCCTTCCAACCTCAGATCACATCATGTCCCATGTTCAAAGCCCTCCACGGAGTCACCATCTCACCCAGAGAAAGATCCAGGCTCTCCCAAAGACGCTGCACAATCTGACTGCACCTCCTGCCACTCACCCCTCACCCACAAATACCTGTCTGGCTTACCCCTACCTCCTTCAGGTCTGCTCAAATGTCATTTCAGAGAGGCCTTCTTACACCCTCAATAAAGCAGCAACCCAGCCTTCCTCACGGCCCTGGCTGCCTTTATTTTGCCCCTTCGAATTTATCTACACTCTCCCTTAAAATCAATGGAAAAATATCCTCGGGTGAGGGATGGATGGATAGATAGATAGATAGATAGATAGATAGATAGATAGATAGATAGACAGACAGATAGATAGCCGCTCTGGCTGCTAGGTGGTGAATGGCTCACAGGGGACAAGAGCTGATGCCGAGACCAGTGTGGGCTACAAGGTTGTCCAGGGGAGAGATGGTGAGGGCTTGGACCATGGGAGGCGGCAGTGAGAAGAGAGAAATGGGCACATCTGAGTCTCATTCGGGGAAAGGCGAGGACTGGAGACACGGTGTTTTCTCAATGCCGCCCCTCGGCACCCTTACCCAGACCGGCTGGCAGACGCCCTCCACGACCTTCCTGCAGAAGAAGCCCGGGTCAGCCTGGCGCTGCGCCTCTCCCCAGAGGATCATGTCCCGCCGATAGGCCTCCTTGTAGGCGCTGGCATCCAGGAGTCTCTGGAAGTTCAGGCCGTGTTCCTGCCCAGAGCACACGATGTCTGTGCCCAGCCTCGCCACCGCAACGGCCTCGCCCTCCCTCCCCTCGCCCACCTCCCCCAGGACAAGGCCAGGACCCCGAGGTTTCCGCCAGGACAGAGGCCTGCAAGGGAGCGGGCTCTGGAAATGGAGAAATCCCGAACACGGACAGAAGCCACACCGCCGGGCACAATCCTATTCATTTTTATAAAAGCCTCCATGGTTCAAAATTCAAAAGGTAGCTATACATGCATTTACAGTGAAATATCTCTTTCCCACCACTGTCCCCAGCCACAGCTCCCTCCCTGAAGGCCACCAATGGCACCGTCTCTCTTGTGTCGGTCCCAGCGACTCACACATCGGAACAGTGTTTAACACAATGCAGGCACCCTAAATATTGGCTGTACGGTTGGAAATGTGAGCAGCTATATTTACAATTGCTCCCCATTATTATACAGCATCCTCTATACACTATTCCAAATCTCGTTTGTTTGTTTGACTTAATAATATAGCTCGGCAATTCATGCAACTAAATTTCTGAGGGGAGAACCCGGGGTGGGGCACCAGCTGAGGTAGTGATGCTGGTGTCACTCTCTCTGAGGAAGAGTGTGCGCAGGCCGCACTAACCCACAGCATCAGCGCTGCCACCTCCCCACTCCGGCCTTTCCTGGATGCGCTTTTTTATTTTTAATTTTTTTATTGACTTCAGAGAGGAAGGGAGAGGGAGAGAGAGAGAAACATCAATGATGTGAGAGAATTATCGATTGGCTGCCTCCTGCACTCCCCCTACTGGGGATCAAGCCCGTAACCTGGGCATGTGCTCTTGGCCGGAATCAAACCTGGGACCCTTCAGTCCACAGGCTGGTGCTCTATCCACTGAGCCAAACCGGCCAGGGCTGGACGCACTTTCTTGAACCTGCTCTGGGGAGGGGCCTGAAGTGAGTGAGGCCAATGGGAAAGAAGTGTAAGCTGAAAATGCCCCCAAAAAGTCCACCCACAGAAAACCGAGACCTGGCCACCATCCTGCCAGCAGTGGTCACAGGGACCCTACTAGTGACTCAGACAGCCACAGCGATCGATGCCAGGGGGCTGGCTCCTTCCCGCCCACGAGATGTCACCGGGAGCCACCTCCTACCTGGGCATACTGCTCCTTGAGGGGACCGGAGAGCCGGAGGACAGCACAGACGTCCGCGCCGAGTCTGCGGGACAGAGACCCAAGCCAGTTAGCCTGGATCTTCCCGGCCCCAGGAGAGTCACAGGTAAAACAAATAAAACTACAATGACAGTGCTATTCCGGCTCGACTGGTTTACTGCTGGACCCCTGAACTAGTCTCCCGGCCGGGGCACCTCAGCCTCAACTGACTTGGTCACCACAGCGTCAATCATTCATTCATTCAGGTCAGTTTACCCAACCAACCATTTCTTGTACTGAACTGTGTGCTCACAGGTTCTCTTAAACACCGACAGCGTGGCACAGGTGTTCTTGTTTCCGGTTGAGGGAGAAGAACCGACTCGCCCAAAGCAGCGCTGCCAGTAAGGAAGCCAGCGCTGGCAACAGAAAACTAAGCCAACATCTAGTTCCTGCACCTTTATGAGGTGTCAGGAATTGTTCGAAGGCCTTCGCGGGCGTCATTTCATTAGTCCTTACAACCACCTGTTCTCACGTCCCACAAATAACAAAACTGAGGCACAGAACGGATAAGAAACGCAGACAAGATCACACACTCAAACGTGGCGAGTCGGGATCTGAGTCTCAGCCGGCTAATCCCAGAACCGGTGCTTCTCGCCACGGTTTGACGCCTGTGTCTGCAGGGAAGGAGAAGCGCGCCTTAGGGAAAGCTGGTGGAGGCTGGATGGGGAAAATGCAGGGGGTGATCTCTGCCCTGGGCTCCGCAAGGAACCAACCCCTGTTGTGCCCAAAAGCAACCTCTAGGTACCGCCCCCCCCCCCCCCCCCCCCCACACACACACAGCGAAGCCTGCCGTGCTTCTCCCTGCTCCTCTGCCCCCCCCCCCCCAGCCCATGCCACCCCAACAAACACGCTCCCACACGAAACATCTCTCTTGGAGAGAAGGCTACTGCTGGGGAGACTGCGGCGAAGCAGGAAGAACCCGTTCCTTGCAGTGAGTTTACAGTGTAACGTCAGTCCTAGATCTGACTATGACTTTGTAACCTGGCAAGTTTGGGTTTGGTTTTGTTTTTCTACTTTTCAAAGACTCGTCTCTTCATCTGTGGAATGGAGACACTAATAATACCACACAGCCCCTAACCAAGCGGTGTGGGGATTAACTGAGATAATACACTCGCAGAAACACAGTGCCTGGCTCCTGATCAAGGCTCACTCAACCCCAACTGGTAGGGGGTGTGCTGGGCAAGGGTTTACATGTCTCTGGAGTCAGACGCCATCGGAGTGTGGTCTTGGGCAAACCCTTCCCCCGTGACTCAGTTTCCCTCTCTGTAAAGGTGAGCTCCCAGCAATGCCGCGCGGGTAGGGACGGAGGGTAAGAAGTGCCTTATGGCAACCGTTACCACTGCTTCTGGGCGAGGGAGACCCGCCGCCCACCGTCCTTGGAGAGGGGGTCGCTCGGTTCTTCCAGGTAGATGTGTGCAGGCTGCTGTTTTAGGTGCTGCTGACCATCCCCCCACTTCCTCCCACCTGTACCCCGAGGACCCCTACCCCAAAGCTCACGCCCACTGCAGCGCACCCCGCGTCACGTGGCGCGGGGTTTCCCACCCCTCCTCCCCCCCACCCCCCACCTGCTCTGCAGCGCCTCGGTCACGAAGTCCTTCCCGGATTTCCTCTTCCCGCTGAACAGCAGCACCAGCCGGGGGGCTCCTCCCCGCGGGGCCATGGGGCCCCCACACTTGGGCGATCCCTAAAAATAGCACGACTCCCCACCCTTAAGTTGGGCCACGGGCGCGGAACGGAGGCGGCCACCCGGTGGAGAGACCTCAGGGCGGGCTCCGCGCGTCCTCCCCGCAGCCGTGCAGGGGCCCGGCCGCCCGCGCCTGCACTTCCGTGCGTTTTAATTAACGTCGAAGAAGTTCAATGTGGAGGCAAAGAAGGCTGATCCCGGGGCGGCCTCCCCGCGGCAGACGCCCCCCTCCCCGCTCACTTAGGACAGCCCCGCCCGCCCAGACCTGGCGCCACGGCCCCGCCTCCTGAGCTGACGGGCGGGGCGGGGACTGGGCGCGACCATTTTCCTCTTGGGGGGGCGGCGTCTTAAGAGGTGCCGGCGCGAGCCTCACACTCCCTTCCTGCCGCCCTGCGAATGTTGCGGACAAAGAGCGAGCGTGCTCGCTGGGAGCAGCTTTCCAAACCGCCTCTGCGTCTGCGTGTGACGGTGCATGTGCGGAAGCGCGTCTACACGGTGCCCGCGGTGCAACTGGGTCTTTCTCTGAAACGAGGCGATGACGTCAGAGGGTGGCCCGATGGCGTCATTCCGGGGGAGGGGCTTAACCGCACACACGCTACTTTATTGTTAAGCCGGTTTTTTTAAAACTGGAGAGGCCTTGGCAGTTGGGCCCTTCTAGCCCAGCGAAGAAGCTCACATCGCTTGTCTAGCCGCAGCCTCCGAACCAAAGGTGTTGGGAAGCGAGGGCGCGTGGAATGACGTGGTGACACCAAGAGCAGAGGTTACAGGGGCCTGGACGCTGCCCCTGGCCGTTCAGACGGCAGGTTCAATCCCTGGTCAGGGCACTTCCCCAGATTTCACTCACACTCCTGCTTCCCTGCGTCTCCAAGAGGACCGACTCGAACTCCCTTCCAGAGTCTCTTCCCCAACCTGAGCCAAACCACAGCCCTGCCCTTCCTCTTCCGCTGAGCAGAGCTCCCTGGAACTCCCACGCGGTGATCAGAAACATCCAGCCTCTTCCCAAGTTCCCCACTGCTCCCCACTCCACTGAACCTCACGGCCCCCCTTCCCCCAGCCTCCGAGCTCAGCACAGACTCTGTCTGCTGCCTCCCTCCCTCCCCGGTTCTGGAGCAGACCGTTACTCCGGCCTCGGGAAACTCGGCTCATCCCCCCTGGCTGACCTACCCTTTCCCCTCCTCAGTGTCACAACCGCCAATCCTGAGCCTTACCCTCATGCGCTGAGGCTTGGCCACCGGCTCCTGGTCTTCTCCACCAGCTCCTGCCAGCCCTCGCAGTGACTTCACTCCCCCGATGGTCAGCCCATCCAACACTCTGACCGTTCAGTGCCTTGGCCTCGGAAGTACTCAGACACCAGCTCCCACGGACACACCCTGGGCCTTGTCTCCTCCAGGCCATTCAACCCGCAAGGTCACCTGCTCAAATGCTGCCTGGAGCAGGCTTCCTTCCCAGGGCACCCCGAGCCCAGGAAACTCTTCACATTGTGCACCTGCTCTCCTTCCTTCCACACCCGAGAACATCAAGTAAGATGTGTGGGAAGCCTTTGTAAGCTGTACAGGGCTGCACAGATGTGAGGCGCCATTTGGGGGGTAGAACCGCTGGTCTGAAGGTTGGGGTGAGACAGGAAAGCAGGGGGCAGCAGGATGGGATAGAGACAGCCCAGGAAGGGAGCGGCCAGGTGCTTGGGGACTGAGATCAGAAACCAGAGATGCCTTACACCGTTGCCAGACAGAGCATCCAGAAGACAATGCCTAAGGAAGCCCGTGCTGGCCTCAGTCAACAGAGAAGTGCCCCCAGAAGTGAGGCACACAATCACCCCTAAGAATCACCTCTCACCACCGGGGCAGACCATTTTTTTTAAATCCTCATCTGAGGATATTTTTCCATTGCTTTTATTTTATTTTTATTTTTTAAATATATTTTATTGATTTTTTACAGAGAGGAAGGGAGAGAGATAGGTAGAGAGTTAGAAACATCGATCAGTTGCTTCCTGCACACCCCCCACTGGGGATGTGCCCGCAACCAAGGTACATGCCCTTGACCGGAATCGAACCTGGGACCCTTCAGTCCGCAGGCCAACGCTCTATCCACTGAGCCAAACCGGTTTCGGCGCTTTTATTTTTATAAAAATATATGTTATTGATTTCAGAGAGGAAGGGAAAGGGAGAGAGAGAGAGAAACATCAATGATGAGAGAGAATCATTGATCAGCTGCCTCCTGTGTACCCCACACTGGGGATCAAGCCTGCAACCCAGGCATGTGCCCTGACCGGGAATCGAACCATGACCTCCTGGTTCCTAGGTCGACGCTCAACCACTGAGCCACACGAGCTGGACTCCATTGCTTTTAGATAGAGTAGAAGTGAGGGAGGGGAAAGAGAGAGAGGGAGAGAAATATAAATGTGAGAGAAACACATCGATTGGTTGCCTTCCACACACGCCCAACAGGGGTTAGGGGACAAACCTGCAACCCAAATACGTACCTCTGACCGGGAATTGAACCCGAGACCCTTCGGTTCATGGGTGACACTCTAACGACGGAACCACCAGCCAGAGCCAGGGGAAGACCATTTAAAGAGAGGTTTGCCTCACCAACCCAGGGGACAACTCAAAGTCAGATCTAGGCGTTTGGAGGAAACCTGCTCACTGCACTAGTGGTAACACTCCCGGGACAGTCTGAGCCTGCAGCGGACCGGTTCCCGCAGCTCGCAGAGCCCAGAGAAGCTGGCCTTTGTCCGTGCCCCTCCCACCCAGCCCAAGCGAGGCAGCCCCGAGCGGAGGGTCCCAGGGTCTGCCGTTCCAAGGCAGGCCTGTCCCACCGTGGAACCAGGTGTCATCCTGGCTCCTGACACCACCAACTGCCCTTGCTTCAGCTCCATGCTCCTGGCCCCAGTCTATCTTCCCGTGGTCATTATCCAGCTGACCCACGCGGGCCCTCTGCTAGTGCTTGTAAGTATAAATGTGGCTTGTGAATCAGTCCTCATGTGTGTGATGGCCATTGCTTCCGGGGCCATGGAGCCTGGCAGGTAAGGGACAGAAGGGAGTGGGGCTGGTAAGGAAGCAGCACAACAGGGAAAGAGAAGAGGGGGAATCTGAGTCTTTGGGGAGCTAATGGGAATGAAGCCTATTTATTCGTTCATTCATGCATGCATTCATTCAACATGTATGTAAATGTCCAAAATGCGCCAGGTACCGCTAGAGACGCAACAGTAAACAAAACACAGCCTGCTCTCAAAGAGCATTCATTCTCCCGGGAGACAGGCAATGAGACAAGACAGCTAACAAGTCGAGCACGAGCGACTTCGTCCCAAAACTGAAGCGAGAACGTGAAATACATTAACTCCTGCAGGAGGCTCGGGTGTGAGCTGTAACCGGCTCTGCCTATGCCCCCACCTGTTGTTCCCCTGCCGGAGACTCCCACCCAGCTTTTGCCTGTGAAACAAGCTCCAACTTGCACTGTAACACCTCGCTTGTTGACTCCCCACCCCGTCTGACTTGGATCTGTTTTCTTTGCTCCTGATACACCCTGTACCCACGATATCACAGCATCTTACCCGACACTATAATTACCCATTCGTGTCTCTCCCTCCAGATGGCAAATAGATGACATTGATTCAGCAGTTACTATGTGCCAGACCTTTTCTCAATCATATGACATAAACACTGCTACCCCTACTTAAAAATGAGACAACGGAAGCTCATTCTAGTTAAGAGATTTGCCCTAGTATTTATCAAACATTATTGCACAGCCCTAACAGGTTTGGCTCAGTGGATAGAGCGTCGGCCTGCGGACTGAAGGGTCCCAGGTCCGATTCCGGTCAAGGGCATGTACCTTGGTTGTGGGCACATCCCCAGTAGGGAGTGTGCAGGAGGCAGCTGATCGATGTTTCTCTCTCATCCATGTTTCTAACTCTCTATCCCTCTCCCTTCCTCTCTGTAAAAAATCAATAAAATATATTTTAAAAATCAATTAAAAAATATATGTATTTAAAAATTATTGTACATATGCCTGGCTGGCGTGGCTCCGCAGTTGAGCATCGACCTATGAACCGGGAACATGCCCAGGGTGCGTGCGGGCTCGATCCCTAGTGTGGGGTGTGCAGGAGGCAGCCACTCAGTGATCCTCTCTCATCATTGATGTTTCTATTTCTCCCTCTCCCTTCCTCTCTGAAATCAATAAATACATATTTTTTTAAGAGTCATTTACTGGTTTCATTTAACTGTTTTTTAACAATCTTAGTGATAAAGGTTGATGTTTATTTATTTTTAAAAAATATATTTTGCTCTTTCTCCGCCATCGAGGTGCATGTGTTCCCTCCTCGTTCACCACGTCTTCCCACAAGACTTTCAGGATCAAGAGGTTCCTGGCCAAGAAACAAAAGCAGAATCGGCCCGTTCCCCAACGGACTCGGATGAAAACTGGTAATAAAATCAGGTACAACTCGAAGAGGACACATTGGAGAAGAACCAAACTGGGCCTAGGAGAAATCACACGTGAGAGATGACTCACATATTTATGCTGTGTCCAGGTTGCCTACACCTTCAAATGATTGAAAAGATGCTACTGTCTGGACAGTTGGGGCATTTTAATTGGAAGATTAATGGACTTGTGATTTTGCGCTGTTGATTTTTTTCCCCTGCAATAGTAGGTTGGTTCAGTAATAAATGTGTGAGACCTTTTAAAAAATAACAAATAAAAAATATATATTGATTGATTTCAGAGAGGAAGGGAGAGGGAGAGACGGAAACATCAATGATGAGAAGAATCACTGAGTGGCCACCACCAGACGTCTCTGCAGAAGGAGCCCTGCGCGCAGTTGTTGTTTTTTGTTGTTGTTTTTTTAAATATATTTTATTGATTTTTTACAGAGAGAAAGGGAGAGAGATAGAGAGTTAGAAACATCGATGAGAGAGAAACATCGATCAGCTGCCTCCTGCACATCTCCCACTGGGGATGTGCCCGCAACCCAGGTACATGCCCTTGACCGGAACCGAACCTGGAACCCTTCAGTCCGCAGGCCGACGCTCTATCCACTGAGCCAAACCGGTTTCGGCAATGCGTGCAGTTTTATCAGGGATCACAAGAGAAGGAACCTGCTTGTAGCCTGTAGCTCCTGCAGCCCTCAGCTCCGAGCTAAGGGGAGGGGAGGGGAGGGGAGGGGAGGGGAGGGGAGGGGAGGGGAGGGGAGGGGAGGAGCAACAGGGACTCTTACTCAGGGGTCAGCAGCCATGGGCTCTGGCCTCCACT